CTACTTTGTTAAAATTTGTCATGCCACACCTGTAATTTGTGTCCTTTTCTGTATGTTAGCTTCAGGAAAAAGTGTATTTTAAAAAGTAAAAATTACTGACCAACTTCACTGAGCTTTTTTTTTTAATAGCATTTTAAAATTGTTATGGGAGGTATTGAATCTTTATTTTATTTAGATTTCCTGAATACACTTAAAAGTGTTGTGCTAATAGTTTTACTTTAAAATTATTTACAATTCATCAGTTTCTTGGGAACAGTTTAAAATTTGTGATGAAGAATCCTAGAGGCTGATGTTGCTGAAAGCTTGGTCCTTGTCTCCAATGCCAATCCAATAAAGAGGACATGGTTTTAAGAAAAAGGAAAAAGAAGGTTTATTGCTTTGCTAGCAAATGAGAAATAAACACAGAGGACATCTGTCCCAAAGGTGGTGATTCTTCCCATCAGTAGGAACTGAGGTTTTTTAAAGAGGTGATTCAGAGAAAATAATATTAGGGAGGAGAGATCGGGAAGGAGAAGATCAGGGAAAAGAAGTTTGGAGAGGAGAAGGTCAGGGAAAAGAAAATCTGGGAGGAGAAGATCAGGAAGCAGAAGGTTAGGGAAAAGAAGATCAGGGAGGAGAAGGTGGGGGTGGGCGGGAAAGGAAAAAAAAACATGTAAGTTTCAAAGTCGCAAGGGATATAGTCAAAGCATCGAGTGAACCCGTTACACTGATTTAAACATGAGAGGATATGATACATGGTTTCCTAACTATGGAGGAGGTACCAAGCAGAGCATCTGAACACCACTAATATTGGGCATTTGTAGGAGAATAAGTTTTTTTTTTGTTTTGTTTTTGTTTTTCCCCTTACCCTCTGGCTCTTTGTTTCTAATTTTTTAATGACAAGAATTACCTGGAGTACTTTAAAAAAAAATTTCAAAACTATTTTTATTCTTTTTAGGTATACATGACAGTAAAGTCTATTTTGACATATTTATACAAACATGAAGTATATTCTAATTAGGATCCCAGTGTTGTGGATGTATGCAATGTTGAAATTCACTGTGGTGTATTCAATATGTACATAGGGAATTTATGTCTGATTCATTACACTGTCTTGGGGTATGTTTTAGAATGATACATTCTCAGATCACTCTATAGATCATGGAAATCATCATCTTCAGAGAAGTTGTGTATCTAAGAATCATCTTCTAGATACTTTACAACCCTAGAAAATTGCCACCAACAAATCTATATCTTCTAAAAAGCAATATGTTTGTTTATTTCAGAGAAGTTTGGAAACTATTATTGTAGACTAAACCAGTGGTGTAGTGTGGGGGCCTCAGAATCACCTGGAGGATTTGTTTAAAGTGCAGAATCCTGGGCTCCATTCCAATATTTTGAGGCAGGGTCTAGGGCATAGATTTTTAAGGAGTTCTCTCAGTTATTCTTTTATACACTGAAATTTGAGTGCCTGTTCTCCAGATTTCCAAAGAAGACATGGGTAAGGAAAAAAGTATTTGTGATACCTAGGTTTGACTAAGCAGTCTTTGAAATCACAGTGAGAAATTTTGAACTCAGAAATAGATGGGGTAAACTTTTATGGTTATGACAAAGGTTCCTACATGGTTTTACAGTTGGGGAGGCTGGGGATGTGGCTCGGTAGTAGAGCACTTGCCTAGTGTGCATGAGGTCTGGTTTTGATCCCCAGCACTGTGGGGTGGTGGGGTGGTGGTGGAAACCACTCTAAAGTAGACTTCTGAGTTGAGGCTAATGCCTTTTTTGAAGTACCCAAAAGTATACCCTCGATATATTTACCCCAATCAAATCTTTGCTTTTTAAAACTACTTTTACACCTTCTATATTCATCTCTCGATGATGTACTTCTCAGTGGGGCTCTTCACTTAGGACTTTACTGTACCAAAGATTGTTGTAGTGCAAAATTAAAGTCCTTCTTGGGCCTTATGTAGGAGGGACATATCAAACCCTTGGTATTGGCTGTGATATGAGTTCCATATAGTTATATAACAAGTAAATATGGATTAAGTAACCAAGTTTTATATTCTTATTTCCTGTTTTTTTTCAAATATGTTCAACTTTTTTTTCTAAGAATAAATTAATGAAACTTCTTAGAAATTAGTATTTCAGTATTTGAATTTTCTCAGTTTGCATCTTCATTTGCAATTCAGAGTTTTTTTGGTCAGGGCATATTGCTTAAGTTACATCTATAGATACCACTGGCATAAAAATTTCCAGAATGCTTTAATTTTGCAAATTGTTAGTTGGTATGTTAGTTTTTCCTCAGTATCTGAATAAACCATATTTTTGTGCTGTTAGGGAATTGAGATTGAATTAAACAAAACAGCATTTCTAAAATATTTCATAATGATTTGTAGAAGTGGATAGGCATAGATTTTTGTTAATAAAACTAGACTTACTTTAACAAATTTGTTTTTTATAACATGAGATTTTGAGTATATTTTTCAAGAGTCAAAAATGCAGTCTTTTGTGTTTGTTTTTGAAATCTGTTTTAGAATAGATTTTTATACTCATAAATCAATTTTCAAAAAAGCTCATTTGAAATAAGGATCATAGACCTAAATACAAAACATAAATTTGCTGGGTATAGTGTTATTCAGCACCTGTAATCCCAGTGACTTCGAAGGCTGAGGCAGGAAGATTGCAATTTAGAGGTCAGCCTCAGCAACTCAGAGAGACCGTGTCTCAAAATTAAAAATAAAAAAGACTGGGGATGGGGCTGGGGTTGTGGCTCAGTGGTAGAATGCTTGCCTTGCACATGTGAGGCACTGGGTTCAATCCTCAGGACCACATAAAAATAAATAAGCAAATAAAGATATTGGGCCCATGTATAACTAAAAAATATTAACAACAAAAAGAGACTGGGGATGTGGTTCAGCAGTAAAGCACTTCTAGGTTCAATGCCAGTACTCCTACTCCAAGCACTTTTTAAAATATAAACAAAAGTGTAGAGAGAAAATCTTTATGACTGGGTTATGCAAAGATACAATAATAGAACTTAGAAGAAAAGAAAAGTTAGCACTTAGAATAAAAAATGGATAAATTGGACTTCATCAAAATTAAAAATCTGCATTTTGAAAAAACTCTTAAAATGGAAAAACACGCCATGGGTTGGAGAACATCTTTGTAAAACACGTCTGATAAAGAATATGAATCCAAATATATAATGAATTCTTAAAACTCAGTAATAAAAACCAGGCATGGTGGCTCACACCTGTAATCTTAGAGACTCGGGAAGCTGAGGCAAGAGAATCAAATCACTCAATCTGTTTTTCAAAATAGGCAAAAGCTTGGAATGGATACTTAAAAGAAGATACATGTACCTTGTTAGTTCAGTCATTAGAATACAAATTAAAACCATATGAAGTACCAATATATACCCATTAGAATGGCTAAAAAGCAAAACAGGCGGCTGCGGCTGGGCCTCCGAGGTAGAGCACTTGCTCAGCATGTGTGAGGCACTGGGTTCAATTCTTAGCACCACATACAAATAAATGAATAAAATAAAGGACCATCAACATCTAAAAAGAAAAAAAAGTTAAAAAACAAAACAAAATTCCCTAAAACCACAAAACCAAATGCTGGGCAGAATGCATTGCAACTGGAACACTAACATGTCACTAGTGGGAATGCAAAATGGTACAACTACTTTGGATAACGAAGATTTTGAAATATATTTGATCTAAGTCTTTATTTCTTAATGTACAATTCCTAAAATACTTCTTATATGCTAAAGAATTGAATGGTGACTGGCAGTCCCTAGTAGCTTCAGGATGGGGACTGGTCATAGGAAGCCCAAGGCATGGTTAGAGAGTTGGGAAAGAGAGTTGGGAATTTTAGCCGGGTGCAGTGGCTGAAGAGGCTGAGGCAGGAGGATCGAAAGTTCAAAGCCAGCCTCAGCAAAAGAGAGGCGCTAAGCAACTCAGTGAGAACCTGAAAGAAACCTCTAAAGAAATACAAAATTGGGCTGGGGATGTGGCTCAGTGGTTGAATGTCTCTGAGTTCAATACCTGGTAACCCCCTCACTCCCACCCCCCAAAAAAAGAGAGAGTTGGCAGTTTCAGACTGCTCCTCAATTTCCAGGAAGGAGCAAAGGGCTGAAGGTTAAGTTGATCACCAATGATTTGATCAGTAATGGCTTTCTAATAAAACTTCCAGTAAAGTCCCAAAGCCTGGGTTTGGAGAGCTTCCAGATAGCTGGACACATCCTAGAGGATGGAACGGCAGGGGAGTGGAGGAGTGCTCCTCTGCCCACCCCTCACCCTAGGCCTCTCCTCATCTCTATTTTTTGTGCTGTCCCTTTTAAAAACTAGTGACTGTATTTCACTGAGTTCTTTGACCCACTGTTGATAAATTAATCAAATCCAAAGGAGAGGGGCTTGGGAATCCTGATCTATAGCCAATCAGAAGCACAAATAAAACAACCTGGGGCTTGCAGCTAGCATGGAAGTGAGTGCAGTCTGTAGGGCTGGGACCTCAACCTGTGGGGTCTGTTGCTATATCCAGGGACATAGAATCAGCATAGAACTGAATTAGCAGACACCCAGCTAGTGTCTGCTGTAGTATGTGGGGAAAATCCCCCACACATCTGGTATCAGAAATGTTGAGTGATTGTATTGAATTGAGAGTGGAGAATAGGAAAAAACACTTTGGTATTTCCTCTAAATCTCAGAGTATGGAAGGAAAGACTGAGCTTGTTTTTCCAATACCCTCAGAATAACCATTTGGCAGTTTCTTAGAAAGTTAAACATATACTTATGTGGTGATTGTAAAATGTGTCCTTGAATTCTTTGACACGGCCACAAAACGTCGAGCTAAATCTTTCTGTTCTTGAGTGTCAGTTGGACTTAGTGACTTGCCTCTAATGAATGGAATGTGACAGAAGTGACTGTGTGTCATTCTGAGACTAGGTCATAAGAGGCAGCCTCTTTCTTGGATCACTGGGTCTGGGAGAAGCCAGTTGTCATGTCAGGAAGGTGGTCAGCCTGTGGAGGGCTCACATAGGGAGAAACCTAGGCCTCTTGCCAGTAGCCAGTGCCACCCTGTTATCTAAGCCAGAGGTCCCAATAGATCAGAGTCACCCACCTGCTGCCCTGGGTGTCCTCTCAGAGTCATGGTGAAGCAAGAAAGGAATTTATTATTTAGTGGCCACACCGGGAAGAAACAGGGACCTGTGTCCTAATCCCGGTTTTGGGGTGCTGACAAAAGCTTCAGGACTATTATCATGAAGGACAGAAGCAGCAGGTGGCGGGGGCAAGGAGTTTGTGTACTCAGGGAGTCTTGGTTACACTGTGGTCTGGTTCATCTCTCTCAGGTCAGGCTCTGAGGGATTCTGCTGGCTCCAGGGAAATCATCCTTCTTGCTTGAGGGAGCAGTTCAGTTCCCATGACGAGATGATTGCTCCCACTTGGGGGACAACCTCAATTCCCATCATGGAATACCTGGGAGACAGCCTTCTTTTCCATCATGGTTATCTTCCTGCAAGATTTGCTATTCCTGGAACCTTGAAAATATTTTAGTTGCTCTTAGCTTGGTGCCGGCAGCCTTGGCATAGGATGGAGAGGTTAGGTAAATTAACCTTGCATTACCAGTTTTTAGACAGCTACTTCTTAAGTGATTAACATGTCTGTGGGCAGATTTGAGCAGGAATCTGACCCAAAGTTCAAAGCAGCAAAGGAGACAGATGCAGAATGAAGGCAGAGATGCGAGGCTTTTATCATGCTTTTAGTTACTTATTGGACACCTGCAGGCCCAAGTGAAGAGTCATTGCTTTTTAGCAAAAACAGCCTCTAAGTCCCAGCTATAGTGCCATTGAGTCATCTTGGAAGTGGCTCCTCTGTCTGCCATCAAGCCAATGACCGCAACACTGGACAACTGAGACACAGCTACCCAGCTTCATCATCCCACATTCCTGGCCCACAGAAACTGTGTGACATTACAAATGTACATTGTTATTTTAAACTGCTATGTTTTGGGGTTATTATGTAGCAACAGATAACTGATACAGTAGATAACTAAACTACCTAGAAGTCTCACTCCTAAGAGAATGAAAATGTTCACATAAAAGCTTATAAAAACTTTTTGGCACAGTGGCACATGCCTATCATCCCAGTGACTTGGGAGGCTGAAGCAGAAGGATCATCGGTTCAAGGCTAGCCTCAACAATTTAGCAAGATTCTCTCTAAAAATAAAAGGAACTGGGCATAGGAAAGAAGCTAGTCTTGAAAGGATATGTAACATATAATTCTATTTATTTTACTTTCTGGAAGAAGTGAAAATACAGGGACAGAAAGCATGAGCCCAGGGTCTGGCACTGACTAAAAGGATTGACTGGAGAGGGACTTGAGGCAGCTTTGGGGTATTGGAACTGTTCTGTAGCTTGACTCTGATTATCCTTATCTAATGGTATGGGTTTGTTCAAACTCAGAATTATATACCAAATGTGTAAATTTATTGTACATACATTATATCTCTTTCTTTTCCTCTTCTTCTTCTTCTTCTTCTTTTTTTTTTTTTTTTTTTTTTTTTTTTTTTTTTTTGTTGTTGTTGTTGTTGGACTGAGGTCGGAGCCCAGGGCCTCATATATGCTAGACAAATGTTCTACCACTCAGAGAGGGTTTAAGTTGCCCAGGCTGGCCTCAAACTTGTAAACCTCCTGCCTCAGCCTCCCAAGTCACTAGGATTACAAATGTCTACCACCACACCTGGTCATAAATTATATCTTAATGAATAAGTCTGATCAGCAAAAATTTTTTTTTTTTAAGAGAGAGAGAGAATTTTTTAATATTTATTTTTTTAGTTTTCGGTGGACACAACATCTTTGTTTGTATGTGGTGCTGAGGATCGAACCCAGGCCGCACGCATGCCAGGCGAGTGCACTACTGCTTGAGCCACATCCCCAGCCCAGCAAAATTCATTTAATGAAAATGATTAATAAACCTAACAAAGTGATAGATTTGGGACATATCTGTAGTAATGCTACAGAACCATGAACTATGAACGCTTCTGAATGTGATAATAGGCAAACCTCTGAGTCATAATTTACTGAAATGGAAGTACTTTTCTGGTTTTTAGGTCTTATGAACTAACACGGAAGGACCGATTGTACAAAAACATCATTCGAATGCAGCACACGCACGGATTCAAGGCTTTCCACATCCTCCCTCAGACCTTCCTCTTGCCAGCTGAGTACGCGGAATTCTGTAGTAAGTGCTTGGCTGAGAATGCCCCAACCCCTGGGCCTGATCTTGGGGCACATTTACCCTAGAGACACTTCATTATGTCAACCACCTGGGGCTTTCAGTCTTTAAACAATTGTGGTTCTCTAGTAAAACAGTTGCAGAGATAACTTTAAAACTATTTTTATTCTGATTGTGCACTTGTACATTTACTCTTAGTAAATGTGTGTAAGGACATATTGGTGTTTTAGGTGTACCGTGTCTTGGGACTTTGCTTGTCTCTTTACCAAAGAGAGTTAGTGTCTGTGTAGACACTTGAGACTTTTGCATATGAACCACAATGCTTCCTTTTTTGGGGGGTCTCTTTTTCTTTTGCCATCTAAGCATTGTTCTTAGCACATTGATTTCTGGATTTGTGTGATTTTTGTTCTTTGAGGTACAAGATCATATATCTTTTGATGTTAGGCTTTGGAAGTGCCAGTGAGACCCACCTTCTCTACTTTGAATTCAGACTGATAAAAAAGTACACATGGAAGTCAAATAGGGATTTAAATGTCAACTGTATTACTGGTAAAATGATGTAGGAACATCTGACCTAGATCCAGGTCTAAAATTGGCTTCTTATTTCTTTTGCCTCATTGTAACGTTATCTACCTAGACCCAGGCCGAAGAGCTGGGCTATTTCAGATCCTCCTTGTGGGCACAGCCTGACTCTTAAGGGTAAGCTTCATGCACAGAAGAGACAGAAATACAAAGAAGGTCTGAGGCAGGTCTGTGGAGAGAAACTAAATAGTCAACATGATAGTTGCTAACACTTGATCATTGCCTTTCTACTAGGTACTTCTTTAAATCCCTATACTCTGAGGGAGTTTTAGAGATGAGGAGACAAAGGTATATATTGGGAAGTAATTCCCCCTAAGTTCTGCAGCTTGTACATGGTGGAAGTAGGAATTGTGGTGGTCAAGCTTCAGATGCCATCTGTCCATCCTGGTGCTGCATTGTGAGACACCCTGGGTGGCATACTTGCAGTGATCACTCCCAGCTTGACCAGGGAGAAAGGGTACTTCTGTGAGGAGCATCAGGGGAGACACACAAACAGGACAAACAGAAAGTTTCTTCTCAATAAGTCTCAAAAGAGAGACTTCCTCTTTTATGAATGGAGGAAGTGGTACGGAGAGTAACAGAACTCTTCCTAGTCTCCCTGGCTTTGGGTTCTTCTGTTGGGCTTGCCAGTCTGATTGGGTCATCTGATGGGTGTTCATCCTTTGGAAGAAGAGAGCAGTCAGGAACTTTGATACCACTTGTGACTCCAGTGGGGACCATTGACTGGCAGTTCACTGTTGGCCCATTGAAGGCTCTGAAATGCGTCATATAGCACCAAATAAATAAGTTGAGTTTCCAGCTAGAGTGCACTCAAAGCTGAGCATTTGTAGTCAGTAATTTTTTTGTTGGGTACAATAGTGCATGCCTGAATTTGAGCTCCTCAGGAGGTTGAGGTAGGAGGATCATTTTTGCTTGATTGCTTGATAGGTGCTTAGTAAATATGTATAATATTATTTCCTATTTCATGTTATGTTTAATTATATTATTATGTAACAAAAGTAAAAAATTATGAAGTAAACCAACATGACAGTACAAATATGTTTCAGCTAACATGTCAACAATATAAAATGGTTCCAGATATGAACTCCACAAGTCCAGAGTAATTCTCTATGAAAGCCTAAATTTTGTCTTAATCTCCCTAGCCTTCTTCCCTGGTCTTTCTTACTCTGCTGAAGTCCTGCTACTCTGTGGAGGTGAGGGGATGGTGCCTTTGGGTGACTGACAATCTAAGCTCTCAGTGCAGGGGCTTCTCCAGCCTGTCAGTCACATTCATGCGTGTTCTACTTTTTAACAAACATGAGTTCAGAAGGTCACTAGAACGCAGAGCATTATTACTATTATAATTAGCCCCGACCCAAAGCTACTACATGTAGACTCCACAAGTGCAGGCAAGTGGTTGAGGTTCCTTGATGCCTGGTACAAACCAGTCACTGTTGTCGCCACCCAAAGACCACAGCGCAGGTGCAGACGTACTATGCCTGCGGAAGAGAGGACGGGAGGACATGAAGTAAAGAGGAATCTTCTTGGCTTCAGTCTTCCCAGCATGCCAGGCATTCTGTGTCACCTGTCCACCATCTGTTGCCTTTTACACTAAAATTCATTTGAGAGAAATCCAACAGCATCAGATTGTGTGGCCAACTTTAAATATTAGAGGGGAAAACCACCTTCTCTTTCATGGAGACATTTTTGGTTAAGTCTCTTTTAAGTTCCCTTCTTTTCCTTTGGTGTCCATCTAGCATATTCCACTTGGAAATTCCATTTTTCCATGACTCTTGTGTTCCTGAGCCTTAGTGTTTAATTGAGTATGGGCAGTAGAAGATTTTTTGAGAAGGAAGGGAATTAAACAGACTGAACTTGCTTTAAGAGCCGTGGCGGTGACATGGCCACGTGGATGGGCAGTGTGTGGACTCCACTGTGCAGCCGGGTGGGGGGAGAGTGGAGGATAGTGAGGCTTGTTAGTTGTGAGGGTGAGGCAGGGCCTAGGATGCCTCAGAGGTTGAGTGTGAGAAAGCTAGGGGATTGCCAAGTCACCCTGACTGGCCCAAACTTTTGGGCTCAAGCAGTCCTCCTGCCAGTCTCCAGAGTGCCTGGACTTCAGCCTTGTGCTACTGTCCTGCCAGGATCATGAAGATTTTTTTTGGATGGTGTTGTGGGTTGAACCCAGGTCCTCACAGGATCATTAAGTCTTTAACAAGGCGACATAACCAGGCACATGAAGGAGGAGGGGTTACAGGGCAAGAGGCGGTTAAATGTACACATGGTATGGATTTGAAGTGCCTGTAAGGCAGACAGGTAGTGATGTTTTGCAGGCAGTCATTAAATCAACTTTGAGTTTGGCCAGAGACATAGATTCTGAAGATTGCAGATGGAAGAAATTACTAAAGAGAGAGAAAAGAAAGAAGAATCCCCACAGAGAACCAAGGAGGAGAGAAAGACGAAAGAGGAGCAAGGGACAAAGGTCTAGAGGAGTAGGAAAGAGTTTGTGGGAAGCTTGAATAGAAGAGTGAGCTGTGGAGCAGGAGGTGCGTGTCTTCCCTAATGGGAGGGAAGGAAGAAGGCCACGTGCTGGTCCAGATAAAATTTTAGAGGGAGAGGGAAGCAGGTGAGTGGGGTTAGGGTAGGGATTCCCAGCTTCTTACTGAGGAGGACTGTAAGGCGTTGTGTCAAGAGTGAAGGGCCTGCAGGAGAGCTTGGGTTTCTGCAAGGGGCAGAAAGGGATTGAAATGGTTCCTGTAGGGGCTTTGAATGAGAATTGATGAGGATTGAACATGAGGGTTGCCCAGGAACACTAGGAATATCACCAAGGGGATCTTGTGAACTTAAGTTTTTGTCCTAAGAAGAGAAAACCTTAATCTGTCATTGCAGAGATCTAGTCCAGACACCAGCCATTGTGTCCAGAGATGTAGAAGCCTGGGTACTCCCTAAAGTGTTCCCAGTAATTAGAGCCTCGGGATTGGAATACATTGCAGGCCTTCTAGGGCTCCTGCCTCCCCTCGCCAGTTATGTATGGTGTTTAGAAGAATTGAAGGTCTATAACCCTGAAGAACCTGACCAACTCCAGCCACTTGCCCTAAAGGGTAGCTTTTAAGCAGAAAGAAGATGGGCTGACACCAGTAAAAAAAGTCAAACTTCCCCCAGAATTATGCTCTGTGGCCATCTCTTGTTAGAAAAGAGGCTGAGAAATGATTTTAAGATCTGTGCAAAATTTTGATATTAGCTAATTCATTACAGATACCTGGGATTTCAAAGCAGTGAGTAAATTTCTGAGATCATAACTTTATAGAGTTATAAGAAGTCTTAGAAAATCAGATGAAACCCCTTATTAAAGAACAGAGTAGGCAGTTTACACAAATTACCTGTGTTGTCATATGCTTGGAAAGCTGGTGGTAGAAGGATCTTTCTCCTCCTGCCTCGTTTCTCTGTTGTGTTGAGCACGCTGCCACTGTAGGACAGCAAGGCACTGCAAAGTCTACAGAGCTTGTCTAGAGCATCTTCATCCAGGCAGACACTCTAGTCCTGGGCTCTGCCTTTGCCTTGAATGTTTCTTGCTTCCTGCTCACATTTTTAGCACTTGTGAAATAAATTGATCCTTATTCAGAAATATCACAAACCAAGGTGAAAATTCCAGCATAGAACACAAGTCTTTGATATTTAGAATTTTGACAACATGACAGTAATGAAGCAGATTGATTATACACACGTTAGGTGGAACACTCACATATGGCTGGACCTTCCCCTCCCTGGGCATGCTGTCTCCATTTTTATAGCACCAGATACTTCTTCACTCTGAGTCACTGTAATTACTTATTTCATGGCTGTCCTTCTGCTAATCTATCTTTGTGAGGACAAAGGCCCACTACTATATGACTCTTGCTTAGCAAACTGATTGACACAAATTGGATATTAGAGCTATTGAATTAACGAACGAAGCTTAGAAAATTTTTACATTTTTGCTTTAATAATAAAAGCTTGTCCTGTGTTCAGTCAGTCCATTGTCTCAAAAATCTGGGAGATATGGCACAATAAAAAATAGACTCATTGGCCTCATTTTACGGAGATTTGACTTTTTGACTTCTCTAACTATAAACCTGTCTTCTATAGCAGGACTTTAAAATTATATGAATTGTATTTTTAAAAGATTCATGATATAAAATATATAAAACAGCAATCAGTGAAAAGCCTGTCTCCTCCTGTGCCTTAGTCACCTAGTTCTCCCTAATTCTAATCATGTCCTTCTAGAGACATTGTTGGCATTTACTAGCAAATAGTTTGTGTGTATGAACAGAGGTGAGCATAAAATTCACATTGTCTTGCATCTCGCTTTTTTCACTGACAAGTCTATCTTTGCAATCATTCTGTATCAGTTAATTAATACTGTTCTCATTTTGCATGTTTAATATTCTATAGATCAGGCTTCTGCAAATTACAGCCCTTGAGTCAGATCAGTTGTGCACCTGTTTGGGGGGCATCCCTTGAACTAAGAGTGATTTTTACACTTTGAAGTGATCGAAAAAAAAAATCAAAAGAAAAACAAAATTTTTGATGTGCAAATTGTATGAAATTCAGTTTGTACAAAATAAAGTTTTATGGGCACATAGCCACATCCTTTTTTTTTTTTTTTTTTTTTTAACATATTTGCTGTTTTCAGGCTACAGTGGCAGAGAGTGTGCATGGTCCACAGGGCCCAAAAATGTTTACACCTGGCTTTTTACAAACAGTTTGCCGACCTCCCATGGATGTAATATAGTATATTTAATTAATCTTTTGCTACAATCATGCAGCATTCTATAATCTTACACATACAGCATTTCATATGTGTATGACTAGAACGAGTAGTGGATTTGGTTCTGGAAGAAGAACTCTGAGGTTTAGATTCTGTGTGGTACATGTTTTTTTCTAATTTTGTTAAATTACATCAACAGGGAAAGGCAGGGGAAGGTGGGGAAAATGGACAGAGATTTCTCTTCTGGTGAAATGGTTTGTAGCACTAACAGACTCAAGTTCCTGTTGGGAGGCCTCAAAGAGACTATTTGGCAGGGAGAGGGAAGAAAAGGAGGCAGTAGTTGCTGGCAAGTGACCCAGAGAGGGAAGCTGTCCTGGGATTGCTGGCGCAAGCTGCCTGCTGCAGGCCCCTTTCAGGACAGGGGGAAGTGGTGTGCTTATTTGGGGGAGGAGAGTTGTGAATAAGCACACAGGGGGATGCACTTGCCTTTTAATAACTCAAACCAGAGAAACATAAACTTTAGGGAACTTTATTGGGATTATGCTCTTGTGTTCTAGATAAAATGGTAATACTCTGATGTAAAGCAACCGAGGTACTTTGAAAAAGGAAGTTTTGTGTGATCTGCTCTGAAGCACTTGTATTTATTTGCAAGTTTATTTATTTCTTAACAAATCTATTCTTTTCCTGTCTATTCTTTCATAGAAAGAAAAATATAAAGAAATAACAACACATTAATTTCCATCTTTCACTGCCCCCCACCCTGCCACCCCCTGCCACCCAGCCCCAGCCCCTACTGGAGAGGGCTAGTACATCCCTCTCTCTAGGCTGGGATATGAGAACTCATCAGCACCCTCAGTCCTCTCCTCCCCATGTCCTCTGACATTCCCCAAGTGGAAGACAGAGCCGTCTGCTCCCACTCCCTACCCCTGTGCAAGCCTTTGGGATTCCTATTATCAATTGTCTGTTTTCTTCTCATGACCCAAAGATGTTTAAATTGTACACGTGAACTTGGGGAAGGACGGAAGCAAATGGTTCCTTGTACCCACCTTTGAATTATTGTGTGTCCTCACCCCTTGCACTTTGCAAGTGCAAGGGGATTATTTAAGGGGATTATTTTTTTGAAAGCTTTGAGAAATTATTTGAGGAATGTAACTATACCAGGAGATCTGACTTTTGACTTGCATTGTCACTGTTTGCTAAAGGTCCTTTGTTTAACAGAGAATTTCAGATTCCCAAAGGTGGTTAGTGACAGTAATAGACTCAACACAGAGGTTTGGCCTTGTTTTCATCCTCTTATTTAAGAAAGAGAGGAAATGGTGGAAGAAATAATTATGTGAGTAATTTTGCTATCCTGTTTTCTCCTCCTCTCCTTCTCCCCTTCTGGCTATTTTACTTTTTAAGGCTAGTCCGAAATTACAGATAATTTTAGCTACTGCCTTCCAGCTAGAAATTTGGAAGCTTCTTTGGGTACCTGAATAGATAACCATTATGGGAACTTAAGATAATAAACTCATGTTCCTTCTTTCTCTTTGTTTCTCTCTCCCCTTTTTTTATCTCCCAATATTTGAGCAGATTCATATTCAAAGGACCGGGGACCTTGGATAGTAAAACCAGTGGCCTCTTCTAGGGGGCGGGGCGTCTACCTGATCAACAATGTAAGTATGCAGAAGATGGCAGACCCAGTACTCACGTGGTTCCTTCTCTTTAGGAGCCCAGGTTTCCTCCTGAAATCTGCATTCAAAAGTGAGCAGAGGGTGGCCTGAGCTGGCTGTTGCTCACCTGCTGGCAGTAACCTTCCTGGGTCAGAATACTCTTCCAGGGCTAAAAAGTCACTTGATCAAATACAGGGAAAGGCATCCTTTGTTTTTTTCTGGTCAGCAGAGTAGAGTTCTCTTTTCTGCTTTCAGTAGCATATTGTCATGTTATTTCCTTAGCACTTGGTAGCTCATACTTTTAATGGAGCAGCTGGTGGGTTCCTGCTTTCAGAGGGAACTTAACCCTTCGTGGGTGTGGCATCCTTGCCGCTGCTGCGCCTTCCTCCTCCCTTCCTGCTTTTCTTCCTTATTCTCTTTTTGTTTGTGATCCTGGGGATTGAACCTAGAGCCTTGTGCATATTAGGTTTCAAAAGTATCTGTATCTTCAGTATCTTGATTCTTTGCAGAATCTCATTAAGTGTTGTTTTAAAACTTTATAGAATAAATAAACTCCCAGCTCTATGCTCACTCTCTCTACTTAACCACAGTAGTTAGTAACTTAATCTCTTAAGTTTGATTAGTTTTTATTTTTATATTTAAGGGTCATATATGTTCTCTTCAGTAATTATGATTCAGTTTTTCTCCTTTATAAGTTGAGTAGAAATTTTAAGTTTAATAGAAACGGACTTTAACGCATTGACACTCTGAAACTTAACCTATATTTAAATCCAGGCATTTTCTTTTTTAACTTTTCCTCCTGGATATTTGGTGGACCCTTTCATTCTGAAAATAGTGTTTTTCTTTTAATTTGGGGGAAATTATCCTTTTATTGTCTGTCTCTACTTTTACAACTCCTTTTCAAAGCATTCTCTGTCTTTCCTTCACATCAGATTTTTTTTTCTCATTTTTAGTATTTTGTCTTCTCCGTTGCCATCTTCTGGGTTACCAGTTTTAGCACTATGCATTTTGTTATTTATTTATCCATTGTATTTTTATATTGGCTATCATGTTAATTTTCAGAAATGCTGATTTTTTTCTTTGTAACCAACAGCCTGCCTTTGTTGAATGGATGCAGTTTGACCATCTGTCTTTCTGAGGATTGTTCTTGAATTTTCTTTAGGTTTGTTTTTCTTCTTGCTGTTAAATTTTCTTAATTTGAATGATCCTTAGGTGTTGGGCCTGCAGGACTCTTTCCCTAGCTGCCTCTCCCTGGGCGAGAGCTGCCTGCTTTCTGTATGAGGGCAAAGCAAGGTGACTGTGAGGCTCCCTTTCAGAAGCATGTAGTTGAGGGGTGGGCGAAGGTGTGCCTCTCCCTGCACCAAAACAGGGCAGTCTTGAGGGGCTGTGGAGAGATCTTGGTGAGTTCCCTCTCCCCTAGAGCTGCCTTGCTTGCTTTGCATACCTTTTGCTTCTGTGGGGATAGGATAGCCTCAAGTTCTCCTCTCCTCCATGAACCCCCTGCACCCACAAAAGATGTTCTCCTGAAAGCACCATCTGTAGGTTTCATCCTCTGGACAAAAGCTGCTGTTTTTGGTATAGGAAAAGGCCGCCAGTGCTGTTTGTGAATTAATTATGTGATTCTTGTTCCTTGGCCACCCGTTCTTCATGTTTGTTGGCTGCCAGCTTGGAGCTTTGCAGGGGCCTCCTTGGGACAATCTCTCCCCTCTGGTATTTTGGGCTCAGGCTTCTTCCGCTGTTTTTTCAACCTGATTCCATCTGCTTTCTATCTTTCAGGATTTCCTTAAACTTTGGTCTGTTCTGGCTCCTTTAGCTTTTTTCTAGTCTTGTTATCAATTCATTCTTTTAAAAATATCCTTCTGTCCTTCTAGTGGAAGGGAGGGTTGGTGGGGTAGACACATTGTGTGTGTGGCCAGTACTCCATCTTAAATTCCCCAGTTACTTTTCACATTTCCTATGTGTGCAGAAACAAACTTTCAGAGGGGTCTTTCACTCTAGAAAATCCTCAGATTCAGTCTGGACTCAAAACTATACAGTAAACAATGGTGGCAAGACCTTTCATGCTAAATAAATACATAATCTGGTTTTGACAGAGCACCTACTCAGTGCCAGGCCCCAGCTATAAGTCCTGTTACCTGACCTGGCTCACTCTGGAGACATTTTAGCCTGGCGCTTATGTGACCTAAAACCTGGTCATATGCCTTGGCTTTCTTTTTTTGTCTTTCTGACCTTGGCGTGAAGGCTCCTGTCCCACAGCCTCTCCTTTAGCTCTGCGCCAGGAGCTCCAGTGTTGTTTGAATCTCAGACGGTGCTAGTTTGGGTTTGGGTTTTTGCTGCCAAATGGAATTGCTATTGAAAGTCAACTATGGTACAAGTTTGCTTTTTATTTTCTTAGACATGAGTCAAAAAGAATAGGATCTATTCCCAGCTCCTCTGGGACTTTTTTCTTTTGGAATGCTCTTCTGCCCTAGTGATTTGTTCTTTTAAAGCTAACATCATAAAGAATAGAACAGTTAAACTTGCCTTGGTGGGACCAAGAGCCCCGTGTCCTTACTCTTCACTGAGGCTCATAAAGGGAATGACATGTCTTTAGAGAATGCAGGCTTGGCAGGCTCTGAGTCTTTCCCCCTACCACCCCTCACCAGACTGAATCCCTTGAGACCCCCTGCACAGATCAAAGCACTTGGCAGGACCCTTCTACTTACCCCTCCTCCTCTGTGAAGCTTTGGAATGAATCTGATTCTTTTAGGTATTTAGTGGAGGTGCCAGACAGAAGCCTGGGGGGATGCCAGCAGGCCAGAGGGGAGCTGGGAGGGGAGCTGGCAGCGAGTACACCTAATGGGAACAGATTCCCATTTCACCCCCAAACTGGAACTTGATCACCTTTTACCCAGACCTACAAACTATGTAGTTAATGCTCCTCTCTCTCCCCTTACAAGAAGGCCTACCCATCCCCTCTTTTCCATACCTGGATCCTTTCCCATGGAATATGTGACCCATTAGCCAACTGGATGAAGTAACTCTTTCCAAGGAAAGCTGCCTGCTTTCCTTTCAGATTTGAGGGGAGGGAGTGTGCTGAGACAAGGGTCTGTGTGCACAACTCCTGAGTGGGCGAGGGACTGTGGGGGGAGGCACAGATTTAGGCCTGAGAGCCAGATGGAAACATCGTGCCCTGTCGTCCCCCGGGTGGGAAAGAGCCTCTTATTTCAGCTTTCCTGTAGTAGTCAGAACCTTTTGGAAAATATCTGCAAGTAGCAACTAGGAGCATAAGTAGAATAGGATAAAGGACAGGAAAAGCAGGACTTTCATGTAATACCGAGGAGACAAGTGTGGACTCCTGTGATGGACACGTCTTGACTGGTTGGCTGGCATGGCCTATTAAGGATATGCCCTTTAACTCCCAAGTGCAGCATAAGGAGCAAAACGTCTGCTTCAGCTCCCTCAGTAACCATGACTAAATGCCATGTTTTCCCAATTTAGTACATTCCACTCAAGGAGGGGAAAGACCTGGTGTTTTCTGATGAAGGTATGAATTTGATTATGGACATCCAATTCCATCATCCTTGTCTGGCACATTATCCATGGTAAATGTAGTATTAATATAATCCCTGAGATCCTGAAGGGTTGGAAGAGGGTGAGGTCACCCTCTTCACTCCTATAGGTGTGAATATAAATCGGTACTCTCTTATTTCTATTAGTTTGTATTTTTTTTTAATCTTATTTCCTCTTTTTCTCATTATTTAACAAGTATTTAGAGAGTGCCTGCTGCCCGCCAGGTGCTGTCGCTCCTTAAAGCATTCTGAGAAATTCTAATTCTTGAATATCTTTATAATAAGTCAGTGTACTGCTTTGAGTAGAATGGCACATGAGTGTGCTGTAGACTGTAGGATTTAGTAGTTAGAACACACAGATACCGTTGAGTTTGCAGTAATGATTGTATATTTAACATGTGCCTGTCATTGTGCCTTCCAAATATAATCTCATCTAGTCTTCATGAAGAACCCCATGAGGGGTGGTTATTACTTAGTAAGTGGTTGAGTCAAGTTGGTAACTCAAGTCTAGCTAGTTCCAGAGTGTATATTCAGTCTTAATCCCTGTCCTGTACTACTCTGCAGTAACTTAATAGATGCTGAGAACTTTGATCTTAAGGTCCAGTGAGGAAAAAAGACTGTTTCCAACTTCCCCAACAATTCAGATTCCTGCTTTAGCCTATTTTGGAAGGACATTTTTAGCTGAAAATTGAAATAATTTGATATGAGTTAATTGGGGTTTGATAAAAAGGAAGTAGATTTGAGGGTATTTCATTAGTTCCTCTGCGATGTACACTACCAAAGAAACCAGTCCCAACTATCCTTTTATTCTGAGAACTTAAAATTTAATTCCTCATACAGATAGAAAGAAGAGGTAAAGACATTAGAACAAATATTAAAGTTACCTAGTTAACTGAAGGGTTTATGCTAAGCTCAACTGAATGGATAAATGGATCAATGTGAACAATTAGGATGGGAGGAGAGGAAGTAGATATGATGGGAAACGAAGACCCTAGGAGTGTGTTCTCTGGTCCAGAGGACAGGTGAGTAGGTCATATGTCTGTTATGGCCTGTAGGTGTTACTCTGGGGAAGGCGGCTGAGATTGATTAACTCTAGGTTTGGAACCCAGCCTTTAGATTACCGCTTTGTGTAATGATTGCATCACTTCTTATTTTGTAAGATGACTCAGAATGGAGATAGTGCTTGTGAGAAACTGATCAAGAAATATAAGGAAATCAGGAAATGGTTGGGTGGTTGAGTGCACTAGGGGTGAATCAGTACTGATGTCATTGTGTTCATATGATATACAGAAATGGGATGTGAAAGCTGCCTTCTGACTTTGAGGCAGCAGCAGCAGGAAAACTCATCATCCTAACTCCAGGGTTGCTCACTGTGGTTGTGAATAATGTCGTGGGTTATAAAATTATCCTTATTTCATGAACAACAGTAGTATTTGGGATCGGAAACACTTTGTGACATAGAAAAATTTTTGAATTTGGGGATAATTATTTTGGCTCAGACTATTGAGTAGTGCTTAAAAGTCTACCTCTGAAGCAGACTGTCTGGGTTCCAATGCTGCTCTATTGCTTATTAGCTGTGTGACTTGGGCCAGGTCCCTAACTTCTCTGATCCTTTCCTTATCTGTAAAATATGGGGTTGTGTGAGGATTGAATGAAATAATATGTGTGATACATTTAGAACAGGTTGGCACATAGTAAATACTTACTACTTTTACCTAATTTTAATTGTTTCTGCAAATGTTAGCTACTACTGTAGTTGTTATCATGGTAATTATTATCATTGCCACTTCCCTTTGGAGCTCTTTTGTCCTGCATGGATTGACTTGCAACCGACTTCTCTGTCTTAATCTAATTACACATGAAATTGTTCTATTTCACATATTTTGATCTTGCTCTTTGATTCCAGTGTTCCTGCTTTCTACCATGTTCAATCTAAATGACTCTTACTAGGAGTTCAAACTTACTTGCTTTTGCCTCTGGGATCCCTCCCTCCTAGTTGTCTAACCATCCCTTCCTTTATTTCTCAGTTTAGTCTTCTAAGCTCCAGGCCCATGAATCTGCCTACCCTCCTGTCTGCTGGCCCTTGTACATGCCATCTTCCCTTGATGGCGTCCTTTCCTCCCTACCTTGTGCCCACTCACTTACTTCTTGCACCTATTCTTACTTGTTGTACCTATTCTTCCAGGGCAAGCCTTCCCTGAGTGGTCCTGCCAGATTGGTCCACTTTACAACCCAATATCTTGTGTTTACAGAATTATTGCTTTTTGTTCTTTTAACTTAAATATATCACTACCTCTCTGCAATATAATTGTAATATAGTATTTAAACTCTGGGGGTAGAGGTACTGAGTCTTAAGTTCTGTGAGGGCAAGATTGTATCTATTTTCTTCATCACTGTAACCTCAATGCCTCACACAGTGTTCAACATCACTATTATATAAACAACTTTTTTTTTTTTTTTTTAATTAAAGAGATCTAGCTCAGTCTTTGCACATAGTTGCTTGGGAAGTGCCATTCACCAAATCAAGCAAACATTCATTGCATTTCACAGAGGAAATGCTGGGATCCAGCAAGGATAGTAAGTTCTCTAACCAACTTAATGAAAGTCTACACTTAAGAATAGTCCTTGTGCACCTGGCGCAGTGGCACGCACCTGTAATCCCAGGGACTTGAGAGGCTGAGGCATGAGGATAGTGAGTTTGAGGCCAGCATCCACAGCGTAGCAAGACCCTGTCTCAAAATAAATAACAAAAAGGACCAGGATGTGGCTCAGTGTTAAAATGCTCTTAAGTTCAATCTTCAGTACAAAGAAAAAAGAAAGAAAAGAAATAGTCTTTATGCTTTAAAATTATCATTGTACTTTTACATTTTAAAAGAGGCAAGCTTTTATTTATTTTTTAAGTAACTCATATTTTCTTGGCAAGTAGCTATTTACCATGCATATAAATCTTTATAAAGCTCTTTAGGCTGTATTTATTGTGTGAGAAGTGCTATGTAAATTTATTTTCTCTCCTTTGCAATTGAATACCCACAGTGTTTATAAAAGTTGCATGTTATGTGGCCAAAAGAATATGTGGGTATTTTTGGAGGAAAACTTTTCCTAGAGTTTTAGTTTTCCACATGATCACTTTTTAAAAGGGTAAAAAGTTTATTATAAATTAGAATTCCTGAGCATTTGTACCCTTTCATTCTTTTTCTTTACTCAATAGCCAAACCAGATTTCCCTGGAAGAGAACATCCTGGTCTCCCGTTACATTAACAACCCCCTGCTCATAGACGGTGAGTTGTGATTAAGCTCCTGCCTAGGTTGGGTTAGATCTTGCTAAACTTTTTAACCTTCTAATGGTCTTCTCTAGTAAATCTTTTAAAGCTAGTATGAAATTCTTGGCACCTATGGCTCCAGAGATGAGGCTGGTTTCTTACATACTACCAGGGATTATTCTGAAGATAAAATGCGATAAGAAAAAGTGCTTTATAAGCTATAAGGCAATCAATCAATATGTGTGTGTGTGTGTGTGTGTGTGTGTGTGTATACATATATATGAAAACTGCCTATTTATTTATGTACATATATGCTATGTATATTATAGCATTATATTTATAGTACAGTTATTATTCATTCTCACCAGGCAAGGTGTGGGCACTGTGTGCTTCACATGGAGGAGTGATCTTTCTTTTATAGTTCTTGGTTACCTTGTCCTGTTCATTCTGTAGCAGAAAGCAAATGAACTGTTTTTTCTGTGAATCCAACCTTTTTTCTAGATTTCAAGTTCGACGTGCGCCTCTATGTGCTCGTGACTTCCTACGATCCTCTGGTCATCTATCTCTATGAAGAGGGGCTGGCCAGGTGAGAGACTTTGTTTTTAGTGGAAGGGTCAGGTGAGTATAATAAAATAGATCCATCAAAGAGCTTTCCAAGATCAGGCTCTTTCTCTCTGTTATGTTCAACTCAGGAAATTAACCCTGGGAGACTTCAAGTAACAGAAAGCAGTCCTAATACATTTCAGTCTCATTTGCATGTCCACACAAAGTTTGTGTAAATGCACACAATTCCCAGTGGAGATGGAAGCCACGGGATATTTTTTCCCAATGATGATTATTAGGAAGACCCTGGGGTACTAAGATAATTAAGATAATTTCTCATTGTTCTTCAAAATATCCAGAAAGAAAAATAAAAAATTCCACACTTATTTGCCTGTCATAAGTCAGGCGTTTGTTTTAATCCTGATAACAACCCTATAGTTAATAGCTTTTTGCAGTTGAGGAAATTGAGACTTAGAGAAGTGAGGGAACTTGTAGGCCCTTTCTGAGATCTCCCTGCTGGGTGGTAGTGGAGCAGGGATGGGGAATCCATTTGCTGAACTGCCCATGCTCTCAGTTTCAGGGGTATGCTGCCTTTTCCCCTTAATGTGCAAGTTACATACTTTGCAGTAGTCTCTTTTTCTCCAGGTGCCTTGTAGGTTTTAAGGTAATGAGACTTACGAAATTAGTATGAGTTATAATAATTTGGAGTTTTGTTTCCTATATCTACAGAATTTTCTAGGTGGAAGTGTTTCCATAAATAGTTTAAAATAAGTACATGACTCTGCTATGCTGTGTTCTTTCCCCCTACAAAACTTTTTTTTTTAAATCAAAAGTTGTTTTTTTATTTTAACTTTTTTTTTTTTTCTTTAAAAAGTGCCCTGAAGTTCATCTTATGTGCAGTGGCCTTGACTTTGTAGGACATAGCAGTTTAGGATGCGGTTTGCATCTGCCAGCAGTCATGACAAACTGAAAATCACAGTCTGTGCACATTTCTGTATTTGGAAAGTACATTTTGAAGATGGGAAATAGCACAGATAAAAGAAGACTGCCTATTTATGTACAGGTGATAAAGAAAATAGGTACAGTTTCTACCCTCATAGAACTTAAGATTTAGCATCCTTGTTATGCGTAGTGGTTTTGGCATGTTGGGGTGGGGGGGCAGGGACTAACCAAAGCTCCTAGCTGGCTGAGACATGTCTGCCCTTTACCTCTAGGTGGCAATGACAGCATTTATATGCTCTGTCATATTCCTGACTTAAGATTTATGAGCCTGAGCCCTGGAAACACGGGAGGCTACCAGAATTCCATAGTTCTGGCCTCTTCGTCCCTTAAAAATGGAGAAGGGGGAAAACTAAAACATTTCCCAGTAGTTGGGTAAATGCCTGGACCAGGCATCTGAGCATGAGCTGACTAGTAGCTCTAATCAAGTCTTTGTAGGAAAGCCATTTTTTATAATATTTATAGATGTGTGTGCTCTCACATTTGAGTATAGTCAGACAGACTAGATTGAAGAGCCACAATCCCATATTGTGTAGGAAAAGAAGGTAAAAATATACCCCTGACTTCCACTCAAGGATATAAGGTGTCCCCGATTTCAGTTTTTTAATTTGAGACTTCTGAGCTCTCCCTCTTCTCTCAAGAGCTTCTCCACTCTCCTTCCTCCACTCATCCTCACCCCACCTGTCTCCTTGGTCCTACAAGTAAACTGTGTCCTACCAGAAGTTGGATTTCTGCAAGAGAGAAAGAATATCAAGATTGTTTACATGCACCATTTTTCAAGTATCATAGTAGTGTGTTTTGCATAATATTTCCAGAAATATTTCACCCACAACATTAGTAGCCCTCCCTGTGGATAAAATGTGGGCATAGTTTTAAGACCTTTATGGTTCAGAGGACAAACTGAGGGCAGTACTAACATTTATTATAGAGAATAATAGTAGCATTATTTACTACAAAAAATGCAAATGCTTTGGCTACTGGTTGTGTGTTAGACACCAGAATCCCCTGAATTGGAGTAACTCTTGCTTCTAGTAGGAATTTAAATGTATAAATACCTATGTGTTTGTTTATATACACATATACATATATACATAATATCTATTCATGTGTGTATTCAATCAGTGAATACTTTTTCTTGGAATAATAGGAAAACAGCTGTTTAAATACTCAGACTGCCTGACCCCCAAAACAACATGAATTTGCAAGGCTTTGGTTATTAGGTTTACCAGAAAGTATAGGTGAGTATCAAAACTTTACCAAAGGGTGGTCCAAGGCAGTGTGAGGAGCTGTTTTCCAGAGTCCTATGAGGGCACATTGTTCTGTGGAGTGACTTCAATGGGCCTCAGTTCCTTTGACATCCTCGAGGTGTACCTTGGCACTCACCTGCTTCTTTTCCATCCTCAGAGTGTACTTGACTACGCCACTGTGCCATTACATTCGGCAGTGGTCTCTAGCTCCTCCTGTCTGTAGCTTCTAGTAATCTTGGGTTATATGTGAAGGTAATCAGGTTGGGGTGAGATCACTAAGTCTTTTTACTCTGAGGCTAAACAAGGAAAACCATAATTTTTCCTAAGGAGACAGAACTGGAGCCAAAAATAGTTTTATTCTTTAGAAAGGAAGGCTCTGATACCGCATCATTTCTATTTGGAGCTTCACATTAATGGTAGGTGATAGAAAGTTCATTTTACAAGAAAGTTTTGTGAAATAAGTTATTTTGTGTAAATTCTTTACCTTCTTACACTTACTGAAAAGAAGACCCTGGTGTTTTCAGTTGTCCTTGTTTTATTCACATAGGAAGCAGAATTCTCACTGTTTTCTTTATGTGGGTAGAGTAGTGAAGAGATGCGAGAATGGAATTGCCTTTCTGGAGTTTGATTTGGTGTCTTGTGTGGTGCCCCAGAGCTGCACCCAGCTTTCCAATTCCCTGTGCATGTTACTGTTTTACACCAGCAGGGGACACTCGGTTTCCAAGGAGGGGTGCTGCTCTCACCAAAATGGTGGAGATTCCTTTTCCTTTCAGAGTGGAATCTTAAGAAGACTCTGTCCTGGATTTTACACTTTTGGTAGATCCAATATGGGGCTTAAATAATTTTACAAAGCACTTTTGGAAACAAAGCTAATAGCCAAATTTGCACTGAAATAGGGAAAATGAAAAGTTAAAAAAAAAAAATCAAAACAAAATTGAGTTGAAAACCGTGTTATCAGAGACCCAAGATAGGTAGCAGTAGCACCATGGAGAACATGAGAGTGTCCAGTGGGGAACCAAGAGCATTCCACCCACACTGTTGAGGTCCCAAGTTGAGGCAGGGGACCCGGAGAAGTTAGCAAACAGAACTGCTTTTTTTTTTTTTTTTCCTTCTGCCTTAGCCATATTATTCAGTGGAAGTGCAGAAAAGACCCCAAACATTTGTATTGCCTTCCTCTCCCCACCCCCAGTTCCTTCTTCAGTAGCCTTCTTTGCTAATTAACACTGGCTCCGCAGGGATATTTACCTTTTCTCTGCTGGATTCCTGTGGTTTTGAAAGAATTCAGGTATTCGCTGGTTGCCAAGGAATTCAGATTACCTCACAGGCTGCTCACTGTCCAGAATCTGCCACAGCAGCAAGTAGGGGGAAAGACACTAGAAAGGGGTAGAAACCCTTTCCAGTGCTCATTGTCACCCTCCCTGGCAGGCCCTTGCTGTTTGTGAAGTTTGAGTCATTTCTGGCTCTGAGGACAGAGGATCAGGCTGGTAATCCCCTCCCAGACGGCTCTGCTGGGCGCTGCCGAGTCGCTGCAGCACTTTGGCAGCCTCCAGGCTGCAGCTGGTGGACAGCAGATCAGAGAGCTCTTGGGCCTCTTGCTTTCTTCCATAAGATTTTTCTGGGTCAAGCCAGGATGAAGCCCAGTGGCTCCTGGCAAGGCTGCCTGAGGTGCACCTCCTCATCCTCCTCAGGGCCTCTCTGGCTCAGAATGGCTACACCTGCTGAGAGAGAACTCAGGTGCAATCTCCAGGGTCTTCTCTGGCCAGCCTCACTGCTCCCTTTGTTTACCCACTTGTAGTGAATGTAGAAAAATAACTACCAAAGAGGAGGTCCTACATCTAACCTCTGTGACTCTGACTTAAGAGCATATGGTATGAGATTCTGAGAACAAAATAGGTTTTGAATAGGGGAAGAGAGTTTGTAAGACCCCACTGCCCCCTCTGCTTGTTTTCCCATGTTGGTAAAGACCTTGAAACAAGCAACTCGGGTGCACTTTCAGTTTATGCTTATGATTACCTACTACAGATACTCCTTGATTAGAGGATTTTGTTCTGATAAACCCATCATAAACAAAAATGCATTTGATAATCCTAACCTGCTGAATACTGTAACTTAGCCACATGGTCTGCTGTCGAGTATTGGTTGCTAACCTCTTGATCGAAAGGGTGCTTGGGGCTACAGCTCATCATGCTGCCCAGCATCTCCAGAGGGCATTGTGGTGTGTATCATTAGCCTGGGAAGAGAGGAATTCAAAATTTGAAGTATGGATTTTACTGAATGCTATCACTTTTGCCTCTCTATAAAGTTGAAAAATTGTAAGTCAAATGAAATCTTTTCTTCAGACACCCACACATCTGATTTCTAGACTAATTATTACCATTATTTTGATTCCAACTGAGAAAGAAACTTTAGAAAACAAAAAAAGTGTAGCTTTTGATTTAAGAATTTGTCAGAATAAAGATAATCCATATTTGTTTATAGGGTGGTTAAAAATATAAAGAGGCATACGGTTCGGTATTCATCAGTATGCTGCCAAGTAGCATCCAGGGTTTCAGAATTAGCCAAGAAAGTAGTATCCACCCACACCCAACCCACCACCTTTTCTTGGCTTAAAGGTCAAGGCTGTGAAATTCTGTTGAGAGTTTTCCTAAATTTTCAACTCATTAAAAGAGAGATTCAAGACTCAATTCATCCTATAAATTTCAGCCTGTGTTAGATTAAGTAAGTATTTGAAGACTTGGTCCTGGGGTACCTATTCAAGTGTTTTCTCTTTTGGTTTGTTGCTAATAAAGAAACTGTTGAAACTTTTAGACCTAAATATGATGAAATTTAATAATATGTGAAGATCTAGTTTAAAGGTCAACACTAAATGCTCACAAGTACATTTCCTCAAGGCAGTTAGCCAGGTGGGGACTGCAGAGTGGGAGAGCACCTGTCCCTCCTAAGGGAGCTTGCTGTGTAGTACAATAGGTCACTGATATTGGAATCACAGGAACTTCCATTTTTTTTAAGGGAAAATGTTTTGTTGTAAAACTTAATTTTTTAGACTTTTAATTTTGAAACTATTTTGAACTTGTAGAAATGGGATAAAGAATTATCCTTTTATTCTGTGTCCAGAGACCCCATTTCATAATATGGTACTTGTTTTAATAATGTCCTTTATAACAAAAGGACCCAAGCAAGGACCATGTGTTGGGTTTTGTCGTAGTGGCTTTTGTCTCCTCAGTCTGGGGCAAGTCCTTTCTACAACTTTCACAACTTCAGCATTTTTGAAGATCACAGGCAGTCATTTTGTAGATTGTCCCTCAATTTGGGTTTGTCTATATTTTCTCATGATTAAACCTAGGTTATGCATTTGTCGGGCCAGAATACCACAAAAGGGATGGTAGTTCTCGTTGCATGGTATCTGATGGCCCACGATGACTATTCAGTGTTGACTGTTTGGTTGAGGTGGTGCCTGCCAGATTCCTCTACTGCAAAATGACACTGTCTTTCGCTTCAGAGTATTTCATGAGGATATACTTTGAAACCAGGTAAAATCTCGTTCTGTATTTCACCTAGACTTTTTTTTCTGGTAGTTGTGCTGGGGATCAAGCCTGGGCTTCATACATACTAATCAAGTGCTCTATCCCTGAGCTGCACCCCCAGCTTTTTCATTCAGTACTTTTAACATCTACTGATATTTCTTGCCTGAATGAATATTTGAGGTACTGATTATCCAATGATGGTTTTCTGGTTCCATCATTCCTTTTACTTTTATCATTTGGCATTTTACTTCAAGGAAAAGCTTTCTCCTCTTCCCTTGTATTTATTCATTTATTTATTTATATCAGTGCAGACTCAAAGATTCCTATTTTATTGAATTGGTTTCTTTATTTGGGTGCTCCAGTTGTCTCAGATCTGGCCACTGGAGCCCCTTGAAGCTAGCTTTTTCTGCCCTTTTGGTTATCCCCATTTTTCTTTGAGCATAAAATGTTTTAGGCTCATGTTGTTCTTCTCTGATTTAGCCCTGGAACCAGTCATATCTCCAAGGAGCACTTGTTGCTTTGTTGTGGAGAATGGTCTTTAGAAATGCAGATCTGGATGCTAGGTAGACTCATCACCCTAGGACCTTGCAGTGGATAGCCCTAGAAGTGCGCATATGTGTATATGTACGTGTGCACATTCACATCTGTATTTCTATATCTCCATGCATTGAAAATAGAGGTTAATATTAGTACTTCCAATTCCAGTTCAAAACTACAGGGCACATTGTAGTGCTTTCTATATTTTTGTGTCTCAGATCCAACAGTGAGAAATCTGTGTTCCATTATCTTCAACATATTTATTTATTTACTTAGTTCCCTCTAATGTAGTCAGTTTCCTGACCTTGCTGGTCCATCATCCCACTCACATGCCCTCCCTGTGTGGATTTAGAGCCCTATGGGGCTGTGGCCCTCCTTAGATAACTTCCTGTACTGCCTGGGGTTTCCCTTCCAACCCCATGAGCCATTTCTTTCTGTGGGCACTGGCTGCCATTGGGCTACAAGAAGGAATGTTGGTCAAGTAATTCAAGTTAAAAAACAAAACACAAACTTTTGTAGGTCAATCAGATAATCAGAACTTGACTAGTAGACCAGATGTGAGACTACTGTGACCTCTGGTCTAGACATTTTGAAGGCAATGGTGATCTAAGGTGAATAAGATTGTTTAATGGGACTATAGTGAGAGCTGTAAGATCTGTTGGGAGGTGGGGGTGAGGCTACATCCCTGCCTCTCCTCTATATGGTCTTCTTCTCTGTCCAAAGGGTTAGGAAACAGAGCAGTGCCTTTGTCCTGTAGAACTTTTCTGCTAAGCTGAAGCTTTTCCCTCCCTCTAATCCTTCTTTCTGTAGAAGTCCATTCTGTGACCTTTGCCAGGGTTCAGAATGAAATGCCCCTGTGAAAGAAAGATGAGGAAGAAGTCGGTGATTTTGTAAAGACAGAGGCACCACTTGCCAAGGTAGATCAGATACCCAAAGTCAGAGTATCTGACTTTCCCTCCCTGGAATTCATTGCTCTTTTGGGAGAGAGGAGGATGTCACTGTGAAGAAACGTCTGCTCAAGGGCTGGCAGCCTTGGGGCGCCAGCCTGTGCCCCTTTGCATTTCACAAGAATTCAGAGTTGTTGTCTTGTTTCGGTTTGGAGAAAGAATCACTGTTGGTATGTAGAAGTGAGTTTTACTCACCACATATGACATGATGAAGAGTAGTGATAACTTCTGGAAGTTTCTGGAAAATCTGAGATTTTTCTCAAGCATAGACATAAAGCTTGTCAAACTCTTAACCTTGAGCCATACATGCCGAGTCAAAATTTTCTTTGTCCACATCCTTTTTCCTGGCCTCATGTTTGTTTATTTTAGTTTTTGAGTTAAGCCTTTTTCTTTTTTCCTTTTCACTTTTCTTTCTTTGGCTCTTGTTTATTTCTGGTACAGGGAATTAGGGAGCGGAGATAGTGGGTGGGTGAGAAGAAATAGAGAAGAGGAAAAATTTTAAATGCTGACCTTTAATGTGGTAAAAATTCATGTTGACTTCATAGTCTGGGTAAGCATATGTAAATAATTTGTAAATCATCTGAAAATAAACTTGTGGCCTTCCAGGTTTTTTTCACACACTTGGATCTGTCTCTTGGGAAAACCACTTTAGGGGAGGGTGATATGGTTATAGAGGTATGTAAACAGGGATTGATATTTACCATAATTATTTGCCTTGAATGGCCTTTTGTTGACAATGAGCATCATTGGAAAGTTTTCTCTCTCCCTGCTTACTTTCTTCAGGGGCACATATATTTTATGCCTCTTTTGACAGTAGTCCAGGATATCAAGTTGCTTCCCTGTTTTCAGTGGGTTCCATGTTTAATCTCTTTATCCTTTGCCTTCATTTCAAATTTAAGAATTAGTCTCTTGCACTGTGCCCGTTTTTTGCTGTTCTGCTTTGTCTACTGTTAATGTTGCCATTATTGTTCTTTGTAAATGACTAGTACACATCAATTCTGTTCTTTCTATGGATGTGAGTTCCACGTCATACATTTCTATGCTGCTCTCTTTTTCTTTTTTGTGTACTTTTTCTCCATAGAATGCTATGGAACCAGGCACTATGTGGACACTCAGTAGATGTTTTCCTTACCAGCTAATGCCCCATTCATCCATAGCATCCTTTACATAATTTTGCAAATTGGGCACAATTATTTTCAATTTTCATCCTTCCTATTGATACAAGGTTCTGTATAAGAGATGCAGCATCTATGGTGATTGTAAGATAATGGATTTTGGATCAGGGCAAGTTGCTTCATCTCTCTAGGTCACATTTAGTTTTCCTATCTATTTTATAAATTAGAGATAATAAACCCTACTTCATAGAGTTGTTTTGAGGATTGAATTAACATGTGACATTTAGTATAAACAGCCTGGGTTTGGCAGTTGGGAGGTGTTCAGCGTTTCTTAGATAATGATGTCTCCTTTCTTTATCATTATGGTCTTGCTGATCCTCAGCCCTAGCCTGGGTTCTTGAACCTCTGTTTCTGGCTTTTAACGTGTGTCATTTCTTTCAGGTTTGCCACTGTGCGATATGACCAAGGAGCCAAGAACATTCGGAACCAGTTCATGCACCTGACAAACTACAGTGTGAACAAGAAGAGTGGAGACTATGTGAGGTACTGGCTGTGTCTGAGCCAGAAAGCAGGGAAGGCACACTGAGTTGTGGGTGTTTAGGGGTGGGAGGTTGAAGTGCTGCGCTGGAGCTTGATGTTAGGTTTCTGTCCATGTAATATTTATGGAAAGCTGCCAGGGTCACGTGACGGTTGTGACTATGCTGCTGCTCCACTGTTTGCCCTGCTGCAGTGTCACCTTTCTCTACTAAAACATGTTTTCATCATTTTGTGTTCTTCATTGTCTTCCTCTGACTTAGGGTTGGGAATTTAATAGGCATATTGCATGTTTAGAAGTCAACAAGTGAGTTCATTTCAACACTTGGAAAGCATGCCAAAAACTTGACAAATATTTGTACACTTTGACCCAGCAGTTCCATTTCTAGAAACTTAACCTTGAAAGAGGGGATGTATGACGGGATCAGAGATAAAGATTGTCCATTACTGTGTATTATTAGGGGGAAAGCACATTATGTGCAACTGAGTTTCTTGCATGAATATATCTGATAGCTAAAGCTATTTATTTTTGCTGGGGGTGAAAAAGAGAGAAGGATATGGACTACTTAACTATAGGGGGTGGGACTGTGGGTAGGTGATTTTTATTTTCTTTCTCTGTGTGCTTTTATGTATTTTCAAAAACAAATACTTATATGATCAGGAAAAAAATGGGAAAACAAGAGAAATGAGGACATCTCAGAAAAGATTATGGTAGAAGGGAGCACCAACACAACTGTGTGGAAATATTCTTTTTGCTTAGTTTTTCTTTCATGCTGATAATTTTTCCAAAAGGTGAAAAAACAGAAAAGAAATCCAAATAGTAATTTTCTGGGCAGACTGAAAGAAAGAAAGGAAGGCAGGTATCTGGATGTGCTGGAATAGGTGCTAAAGCTGTTGGGGCCGATCAGTATCCTGTGGCCAATGTTGGGGGTTGAAGATGTCATATCCTTCACCTGGGAAGATGAGCAGAGATGCAGTGAGGTGGGACCCGGGGTTGGGGGTGAGGGCAGTTGCAAAGCACACGTTCCAGGTTGCAGGACTCCGCAGTCTCCATGGGAGTCTGTCCCATTTGTCATCATACACCGTATCAGTGGGATTCTTCATTGCTCTTACTGCCACACTAGTGCACTCTCCCTTCATGGTGCTTCGGAAGATAGGAAAGAGGCCCAGTCCACCACCAGAGAGGAGGAGCTTGCTTCACATGCCAAAGCATGTGTGGGGTGAGCTCATTAAAGTGCTGTGCTAGATTAGCTCATTAACCCCTCCCAACTCAGTTCTGGTCTGAAAATGGCACCCGGGGTGGTTTTGTCGACTCGAGTGAGATTCACTTCTAAGGCTGGGTTGTTAATCCATTTTTGTTAAATTATTGCAACCATTCTTAATTTTGCTTATATCTTTTCACATGTTTCTTCCACTCTTTCATGATGCATAATTGTTTGGTTAAGGAAGAGTTTGCCTTCTTTTCCCTTGCCCTTTTCAATAAGGGAAACTATATGCATTTTAATTTCCACTTAAGAAATTGGTACTTAAGGATACATAACAAAAAAGACTGAGAAAAATTAGGTGAGAAGAAATCAGTGTTTTTCTAAAAATTTCAAAGGACCAAGAAGGTTGGTCATAAAGAATCTTGTTTTACAGCTAGGCCTAGTTGCACATGTGACCTTGATTCATTACTTTATTTCAGTTGTGATGATCCAGAAGTAGAGGATTATGGGAACAAATGGAGCATGAGTGCTATGCTTAGATACCTGAAACAAGAAGGCAGAGATACAACTGGTGAGTACCAGATCTTTTCCCTTCCTGACTTATTCTTGTTTGTACAACTTTACCATGGCCTCTTGCCAGAAGTCCTACTCCTAACAGTAAATTGTATTGCTGAGATGTTCAGTGGGATGATTGTTCTTGGTTAGTCACAAGATTGGGGACAAGCTTTATGTAACTTCCATTTCCTTATCTTGTTTCTAGTTTGGAAGGCAACTTTCTACTTTAATCCTTTGTGAATTTGGAAGGATAAAGTCACTAAATTCAGCATTTTAATAAATTGCTTCCCTCAACATTGTCTCTGAGTTCAAATTTCTCTTAAGTTAACCCCTCATTTCTGTTGCTGAGTTGGAGAATGAATGGGCAGAGTAGAGTTTGAATATAAGGCTTAGAATCAAAGTGGGCCCTTTGCTGAGCCTTGAGCAGAATGGGAAGCACTGTGCTGAAGACATCGTCTCGGTCTATAAGAGGAAAGGCGGTAGGGGAGGAGTGGGAAGAGACAGAGCCTCCTTTTCCATTCTGTCTCTGTCTTCTGTCAAAGGAGGCTGCCTGAGTGTATCCCCAGACACTTCCATTCTTGACTGTGTCAACCTATTTATGGATATACCTGTCCCCGTCAGGCCCATTCTGAATATTGCTGCAGAGAGGTTTTTTTGTTTTGTTTTTTTTTAAATGAGCACACATGCTTTTCCAATTATATTGTGACCTGGAATGTGGTCCTGCTAGGAACCAGGTCTTTCTTCATTTTTACCTTTTTTTTTTTTTTCCCCCCCAGCATTGATGGCCCATGTGGAAGATCTGATCATTAAGACTATCATCTCTGCTGAGCTGGCTATTGCTACAGCTTGTAAAACCTTTGTCCCTCATCGAAGCAGTTGTTTTGGTAAGGAGCTCTGAAAGAGGCCTCTGTGTTTAGTGAAGAGGGTCCTGGGATGGGTTCTGGGGTAGAGAGCCTTAGTGATGTTTTGAGAGTGAGAGTTACTTGACACACTTTTCTCTCTAAGCTCAGGTAGTGTGTGCAGATTCTCCTAAGAGGCCAGTGGTGAGCTTAGTTGGAATTCCCCCAGGAGTAACTAGCTTTCTATGTGGGAAGCAGGCATTGGAACTGAAGTGTGGGTCTCTCTGTTGGTGCAGTCAGAAAAAGTCTGCAACGGACTGTACAGGAATCCAGCTCTAACAAATATATTCCAGAGCTCTTTGGCAGCCAGACTGGGAACTGTTCCAATATGCTCTGGCTGGTACCAGTGTGTGCTTTCTTCCATTTTCTGATGACTCCACCTTTTTTGTTTTAGTCTTCTTTCTAGTGGGTTCCTTTTCCTCCTCCTCTTCCTCCTCCTTCTCCTCCTGCTTTTTCTTCTTTCTCCTCCTCCCCCCTCTCCTTCTTCTTCACTCCCAAGCTGATTGCACAGAGAAGGAGAAATAAACAGTTCACTACCACCAAGTAAGGAAACCCCTTTCCTTCTGACCCACTAGCCATGATGGTAGCACTGAGGGTGCCTGTGTACATCTGCTTTCTTTGTGGATAGACACTTGTTAGTAATTGCCAGTGTTGATGTCTCTAAAGTCACATAAGCTTTCAGTAGACATGAGGCCTGGTTGGTAAGGTACACTAGGGTCACCAATAGGGAGGATGCTTAAGTGTGGTATGGAATAGTACAACCAGTAAGGACGTAAGAGGCACAGCTTGCTTGTGAGGAGGCAGGGTAACAGAATAAAGGGGACAGAGGAGAGCAAGGAAAGGGGAAATCCTGGGGAATGATATTGCCAAATTACATTATATTGTATGTGTGTATGAATATGTAGTGACAAATCCCACCATTATGTATAACTCTTAATGCACCGATAAAAACACGGAGAAAAAGGAACATGGGCTTTAGAGACTGACAGCCTTAATTTTTTCTTAAATTTATTTTTATTTATTTATTTTTATTGGCACTGGGATTTCCTGGCCCTTTTTATTTTATATTTTGAGACAAGGTTTTGCCAAGTTACCAAGGCTGGCCTTGAGCTTATGATTGTCCTGCCTCAGCCCCTCAAGTCACTGGGATTTACAGGCATGTGGCACCATGCCCGGTAGTCTGATTGCCTTAATTTGAAATCTGTTTGCACCCCTTACTAGTTTGTTGATTTGCAGAAAGCTTTTCTAATCCTGCTTTCTGAACTCTGAAGTGGCAGCAGTGATGGCGTTTGTCTCCTTAGAGGATCACAAAGATCAAATGAGATGATGTATGCATAGTGCTTGGCATCGTGTCTGGCCCTTATGCTCTACTCAGTAAAAATTATTTTTAATTATTTTTTATAATTAGACATTATAAAAATATTCTTAATATCTTTAATGAATTATCATAATAGCCTGTACTCAAGAGGCACTAGAATAAAGGTACTGTTGAGACTCTGAATATAATCTGTAGATAGATTAGGACCTACAGTTGCACAGGGAAAAAAGAGGTTGTCATATCTTTTTAAAATGTATACCCAAGGTTGATGTCTTCTTAAATGGCTTCCAAAGCTATTTTACTAACTCTGCTAGTAAAATAGAAACTTGATATGACCTTTAAGGTCTCTAAGGATCTGATCACAGCTGACTTTTCTAGAATTCTGTTTTCCCTGTTACACCTTATAACTCAGCATTTCCCTACTGTATCTCTTGAGCATAACAAGCTTTGGTGTCTCAGTTCTGCCCTCCAGCTAGAAAACCCTCCTGTCTGCCTTGCACATTGTCATTTTTAAGACTCGGCTCTACATTGCATCCTCTGGAAGCCTTGCTTAACGTAGCACCCACTTGTATTTCCTCCCCCATGCTGGTACGTGCCTGTATCATATTGTGATGTCTTGTTTACATGTATACTTCCTGGATGTCTCTGCGTTTATTCTTGAATTCTTTTTTTTTCTTTTTGTGGTGATAGGGATTGAACCCAGGTCCTTGTGCATGTGAGGCAAGCATTCTACCTGTATCTGTGCTGTATCCCCAGCCCTATTCTTGAATTCTTAATAGTCACCATGTCTCCCTTCCTATGTCATCCTATTTCTGTCAAGCCAAGTCTTTCACTATTTCCGTGGACCTCCGAGGACATTTGTACCCCTTTGCCTTTGCACCTGCTTTATCTGTTCTGTGGTTGGTCTGACTTTCTTATGTTACTTTATCTATTAGCTCATTGACATCTTTCAAGACAAACCCAGTTGTCACTCCTCTGCTAATCTTTTTCCTAACTCTGCTAGTCGAGGTTAGACTCTTCTTATCCTCTAACCTCAGCACTCTGTTCATAACTTTGCAGTAGCACCTGTATGTCATCGAGAGTCATCTTTGTGTTTATCTCTCCTACTGGACTGGCAGCTTCTTGAGAACAGTAACCCTCCATTGGTTTTCCCCTCCAGTGCTGAACCGCAACCCTTTTTCTTAGAAGATACGTGGAAGTGTCCATTGAATGAGTACTTGGTTCTAGCTTTAATTGCATTTTGGTGGGTTGACAGCAGGCTTCCCAATGTACCTGGTTTGGTGAGGGCCTAAAACACTTAGATTTTATCGCAATCTGTTTGAGGATGGGAGTGGAGTTATAGAATATAGCACCAACTTCCAAAATCTTAGATTGAAGTAATAAATAAGTTTCATTCTCCATCTACTTGGTTCTTATATGAGGATAAATTTCACATAGTTGTTGGTGTAAAACTGTTGTTTTAAGCAGTTAATCATGACAGCTTCTCTGTTTTATTATCTGATTAATTCTTGAAACCTTAGGAATTTATTACCTTACGTTAGTAGAACATTTTGATGTGAAAGAAGCAGTGACTTTCTCTGACTCAGTGAAATCCCCCAAGTCCATTTGATCGGCGTGGGTCTCCATTCCCCTTCCTACTCATGTTCAGTTTCTGTAAACTAAGTGCATCTGGACTTTTTTAAGTTGTTGACTGTCTTCGTGGCTTTTGTGGTTCTAATTCCATTTCCTGTCAGCTCTGGGATTTTGTGTGCTTCATTAACGCCCCCTCCACCGTCAGATATGATTTTGTATACGTGTGTGTATTTGTGTCTCCTTGCTTCCCTCTGACTCTTAGCTTCCCTTGGGATTTAAGTTACAAGGAGTAAGCTTTTTATTTTTGTTTTTGTTTTGTTTTTCTTCTCTCTTTCATTTGTGTTAGAATAAACAGGAATTGAGAGCTTCCCAGAAGATTTTGGCTTAAACAGAGTGTTGGTGCTTTTAGAAGTAAATAGTCCGGAGATGGGGTTCCCTATACTCATTTAGTTGTTGTCCCTGACCTTCCATCTATGGATCTCTGCCAGGAGCACTCCATTACCATCCTGTTTCTGTCCTGTGGTTGTTTCTTGCCCCACCATCTGCGATGTCTGTTTCCAGGTACCTTCGATATTCCCATTCATTCTTTTATTTATATTTTTTGAATTTTTTCCCCCAGCTCTTGCTGTTTGAAGACGGCTCTTGCCGTCTTCAGCAGTGAATTACCATCAACAATTTGTCCCTGTCAAAACAAAATTTACGTGTTATGGTACATACATATACTTGCATTATATTGTCAGTGTTTATATATAGACTTAAATGTAGTCATTTAGTGCTTTTTCATAGATTGGTGCATCTAGAAAGACCTTAGAAAATAATTAGTTCAGATATAGAAATGGAGATCTTGAGAAATTAACATGTGCCTCAGGGTTTAGAGCTAGTACATGAAAGAATTTGAATGAAAGAGACTGAGCCTGAAGAACCAGGCTTCAGAAGTCACATTTTGGTAATCCTAGTATCTCGATCATGAAACTTCATTTAAACAATGTTTGATGCCCACCCCAACAAAACAGATTTTTGACAGTTAACTTTCACTGCCTTCCAAGATGGCGAAAATATGCCACCATATGAAATAATACGCTTCAATAGCAACGTTTGAAATATGCTAAGGAACTTGGCACTGTGAGATAACTGACTATGAGAACAGCCTTTTTGACCAGTCGAAGAAAAACAGCCAAAAACAACAGCATGTTAGCTGTGCTCTAAAGATGTTGCTGCTGACAGTGGTTTTATCTTTGTGTGTGAAGATGCCTAAAATCATGTGCTGTGACCAAGTGGGATCATGTGGATCAGATGTGAGACCACTTAGGGAAATTATCAGCCTGGCCTTATTTTGATCAGAGACCATTGAGTTGTTAGCTCAGGGCCACCCATGCCCAGTACCTCTGTCTTTGCTGAATGAAATCTGGTTTGGCCTTTTGTTGATTCCTCAGGGTAAACTGAAATTTTAAAGGGAGCAGGCCCACAAACCAAGGAGTGAATGTGTAGTTCACGTTCTCCAGTAATGTAAACTACTTGACCTCCAACAGAATAAGAACGAAAGTCAAATGTTCACTTTTCAAGATAAGATTATCTTTTCCACTTTACCCCTTGGTCCTATTTAGTTAGGAAGGGAAGTTTACTGCAGAAGGGACTTAGTAGGTATGGGAAGTACCTGCTGTTTGTCAAGCAAACGAAGGTTATTTCCTTCAGTCCTCAACAGTATTGTTGGTCTTTATTACCAACCAGATACCATAAAACAAGGATTAAAAAAAAAAGATTCAGGAAGGTTAAGGAAGTTATCCTAGGTCATGCAGCTAATAAATGGCAAAATGGAGTTTGAGAGCCAGGTCTCTCTGGCTCTTTCTCCACCCACATAAAGACAAGTTCTGATGAGCCTGCCACTTTTGGCATGCCTCATATCCTGGATTCTCCTCTGCTCTCTTGTAACTAAATCTCAGGAAAAATGACCTCATCCTTCCTAGCAGATCAGGCCTCTGAAAGGACGCTCTTACTGCTTTAGTCAGGAGTAACCTCTCCTAGATGGTCCTTTCAATCTGCCTTTGTATCTGGAAACCAGATACCGTATTGAATTATTGGACTAGTTAGTAAATTG